AATGTGCAGCCCAGAGCTGAGCCCGAGCAGAACTTGCTCTGTTAACGAGGGGTGCCTCTTTGGTAGCCCCATATCTGCCCTCCTGCTGCTGCCCTTCAGAGTCAAGTACTGGTCTTGGAGCAGGAGGAGGCCAAACAGCGTTTCTGAGCCTTGCATGTCTAGCTGTTTCCAGAAAATCCACCCTCAGTGATGAGTAATGTTTTAATAAACCATTTGTTCTCACTTGGTGACATGCAGATGTTTTCAAGTCTGTTTCCTGAGGGAATGGGGCTTATGTGATCATTCTTGTCTGCTGATCTGCCCTTTCTAGCACCTTTTGGGTCGTTTAGATGTTTTCTGTCAAATTTGAGACTGCACAGATATATATTTTTGAGTGTTTTGGTCCCTGTGGACGGGATAACCCAGACGAGTGCCTACACTGAGAGCAGCAGCAACGTGTGCTCAGGAAAAGTCTCTACCCTGAAGGGGACTGGTTGGTCAGCCATGAGCTCCAGCCCTCCCATCACACCTTGGCTGCATGTCTAAGTGCTGAGCGCACGAGGGACAGACTGTGGGTGCTGTGACACAGGGGGAAGCCTGAATGGAGATGTGGGGAACAGAAAGCAGTCAGGGCAAGCAACTAAGAGAAGTTCCTAATGAGCCAGGCTTCACTTCACCTCACTCCTGGGAGAGCAATCTGGTTTTTGCTTTGCACAAGTGGCAGTTGATTCCTTTTCTCCCTCCCCTGCCCACCTCCCCCCACCCCCCATCTGCTGACAGATAAAATTAAACTTATTTGTAGATAACTGATGAAAAGAGAGTGTAGATTTTTCCTCTGGTTTTTATTTTTGTAGTGCTCTTTTACATTGTTTCCTCCATGAAAGTGTCTCTAATCTGTTTCAAGGCTGGTTCCAAATAATGCATTGATTGTATTCCCTGGATAATATCTGCTGTGTACTTCCAAATATTCTGCAAATAAGCAAAAACTTGTCCTCTTCCCAAATCCAATTTAAAACAAATACTAGAATCTTTGATCGCTACTAGAACCAATTCTCAGCCATACCCCTTAAACTGAACATGGTTTTGAACAGCTTCAAAGCATTAGCTGACTCTTTCTCACTAGGATGCTGGTCAGAAGCATTTTGGTGCCATAGTTTGCAAGTCATGTGGCATGATCTACACAGCTGCTAGCCCAGAGGATGAAGCCCAGCACATCCAGCACCATGAGAGATTCCTCGAGGGACTCCGATATGTGGTAAGGCCATGGCTGCATGGTGGGGGGAAGCAGTGTGTGATATCCAGGTCGAGATCCAAAGCTGAGACAGCTGCAGGCAGATGTTTTGTCATCCAGAGGGGAGGTTAAACTGTAAGGTAGACAATTCCAGCAGCTGTCTGCCTTCATCAGTTTGATGAACGTGTCTTGACTTGATTCCTGAAAGCTGAAGTGGTTCAGATTACAGTTTCATCTGCCAGAGTCTTCCCTGAATCACTTCCCCTCTCTTGCCACACAACTAACTTGTTTGTTTGGGTTTCTTTGTGGTGTTTTTTTCTCTCCTCTGTGGCAGGGTTGGAAGAAAGAACGGGTTGTGGCAGAATTCTGGGATGGGAAGATTGTATTGATTCTTCCAGATGACCCAAAATACGCAGTCAAGAAGGTACATGCTTGTTTCTTTTGGGGTTTATGTTGCACATGAGCTTTCTGCTGGCTCAGGTCCTGGAACTACCTCAGTGTGTGATCATACATTGCTTGCCAGTGGCAGGGCTAACAGGAGGCTGTTTTTTTTTACTGTATTTTTGTTCTACTTTTGAGAAGTATTGGTAAAGACTTTGCTTTTTTACAGAATCATCAAATAATAGAATTATTTCTGTTGAAAGAACCTTAAAGATCATCTAGTCCCAACCCCCTGCTGTGGGCAGGGACACCTCCCACTAGATCAAATTGCTCCAAGCCCCATCCAACCTGCCCTTCAACACTTCCAGAGATGGGGCAGCCACAGCTGCTCTGGGCAGCCTGTGCCAGTGTCTCACCACCCTCACAGCAAAGAATTTCTTCCTCAGATCTCTTCTCACTCTCCCCTCTTGCAGCTTGAAACTGTTCCTCCTCATCCCATTACTCCCTGCCCTTGTCAAAAGTCCCTCCCCAGCTTTCCTGTAGCCCCTTCAGGTAGTGGAAGGTGCTCTAAGGTATCGCTGGAGCCTCCTCCAGATTGAACAACCCCAGCTCTCTCAGCCTGTCTCCAGAGCAGAGCTGCTCCAGCCCTCAGTTTATCTCCATGGCCTTCACTGGACTCGGTCCAACAGTTCCACCAACAGTTGTATATATATGCACATATATGTATATATACAAGCTTGTATAAAAACAGGAAAGCAGAGTGGCAGCAATATATTGCAGTGGCAGCAATTTGGGATCCTGTGAACATCCATCCTGACACCTCTTAACCCCACTCCCTATGCTGAAGCCCTTGTTCTTTAAATGAGTCACATGACCTGATCTTTTTTGTCCCAAGGACTAGGGTGAGAGGCAGGTGCACTTGGTGAGAGCTGTGGAGTGATGAAGATAGAAGCAAGAACCTTTTTAATATTCTCTGCACAGCTAAAGCCTGATCTTCTTTAAGAACAGGCTTATTTGAGGGAATGAGTCCCCTTTCTGACAGATTTCACACCAAAGAATCTGCATGTTAACCCCTAACACACCTCTCTCTTTTCCCCTAGGCAGAAGATGTGCGAGAAATTGTAGATAATGAACTGGGATTTAAGCAAGTTTCTTTGAGCTGCCCAGCCAAGACCAAAATATACTTGTTTGTGTCCAACGAGAAGATGATTGTTGGATGCTTGGTGGCTGAATCAATCAAGCAGGTATGTGTTGCTGATTGTATGGACAGTGGCTTAATTTGCAGGCTGAATAATGGGATGTTTGTGTAAGCCTGTGTGTTGGAAATTGGGGCTTAGCACAGCAGAGGGGGAAATAAACCTGAGGAAATAAAAAGCAAATAAACAAAAAACTCAAAAACAACCCCAACAACAAGAACAAAAAAAAATAAAGGAAAACCTTGTGCTTATGTCAGGGGGTGTTGCTGGCAGGGGTTAGTTGACTTTGCATGGCTGATGCTGCAGCGAGCTGCCATCTGACCCTGGTCTGGGTGCTGGTTTATGTGGTGGTTTGCCTTGGTAGAGAGGAGAGGACAAGGCTGGGAGCATGGGAAGGTCCAGGGCTCTGCATCCCCTGGGGAGGAGCTGTTTGGAGTTACATGGATAGAGTTAAATCCACTTGGTGGCTGGTCACAAGTGTTGATTAGCCTGAGGGTAGGAAGGCTCTACAGGGGGACTTGGACAGGCTGGATCCATGGGTTAAGGCTCTACAGAGGGGATCTAGCCAAGGCCAATCATATGAGGTACAACAAAGCCAAGTGCTGGGTCCTGCACTTGCATCACATCAAGCCCAGGCAATGCTCCAGGCTTGGGGAAGAGTGGCTGGAAAGTGCACCTGGGGGTGTTTGTTGACAGTGGCTAAACATAAGCCAGCATGTGCCCAGGAGGCCAAGAAGGCCACCAGCATCCTGGTTTGTGTCAGCACTAGTGTGGCCAGCAGGACCAGGGCAGGGATTGTCCCTCTGTGCTCTGCACTGGTGAGGCTGCACCTCGAATCCTGGGGTCAGTTTTGGGTCCCTCACAGTAAGAAGGACATTGAGGGGCTCGAGCCTGTCCAGGGAAGGGTCTAATGAGGAGCAGTTGAGAGAACGGGGGGTGTTCAACCTGGAGAAAAGGAGGCTGAGGGGAGACCTTCTCACTCTCTACAACTCCCTGAAAGGAGGTTGGAGCGATGAGGGGTTGCTCTCTTCTCCTGAAGAACAAGTAGTGGGACAACAGGAAACAGCCTCAAGTTGTGCCAGGGAAGGTTTAGATTGGATGTTGGGAACAATTTCTTCCTGGAAAGGGTTGTCAGACCCTGGCCCAGGATGCCCAGGGCAGTGGTGGAGTCCCCATCCCTGGAGGGATTTCAAAGCTGTGGTGCTGAGGGACATGGTTTAGTGGTGGCCTTGGCAGTGCCAAGGTCCAGTGGTTGGACTTGATAATATTAAAGGTCTTTTCCAACCACATTGATTCTATGGTTTGATGTCTCCGCTCATCCCTGCAGGCTTTCCGGGTGCTGTCTGAGCCAGGAGCTGCAGCATCCCCTGGTCAGGACATCCTGCAGCACCACCGGGCTTGGCGCTGCTCCACAGAACCAGAACTGGCCGTTTGTGGCATCAGCAGGATCTGGGTGTTTGGCCTGTGGCGCAGGAAGGGAATTGCCCGGCGCCTGGTGGATGTGGTCAGGTAGGACGGGGAGCTGGGGTCTCAGCTGGGGTCTACTTTTAAAGAGAAAAATGATGATTGCAGCAAAAAGTGTTGAGAAGAAACTCGGGGAAAGCGATGAATTTGTATAATCAAGCAGGTCTGCAATCCCCATGTCATGGTGGAAGGGTTTCTAGTGGACAGATTCTATCTCTTGATCTCTTATTTAAGTTATATTTGTGTTTTAAATCTGACACAAATGTGGGCCTGGCTGTTAACTGCTGTGTGTAATCAGAACACAGAGCTGCATACACTGGATTTTCCAAGATAAACTGTGTTTATTGGGGAAAAGATTTATTTTTTTACTGAACAAGTTGATGGGTCCAAACACTTGAGTTGTAACAGGCAGGAAATTTTGAGCTTGCAATGCTGGGACCAAACTGGGAGGAAGTCCTAAAGAATTTCCCTCCTCTGTTATTGTGGGCTGTTTTGAAGTGGAACTTGATAGTCCATGAACATGTAGGAGCATGTGGCTGGAGCTGGATGACTTGTGTGTGCCCACCAGTCCTGGCACTGCCATGCTGGACTTTACTCAGGAGCTGCTCCAAGATCATAGAATCACAGGTTTCCTGACTAGTTTGGGTTGGAAGGGACCTTAAAGCTCATCTTGTTCCAACCCCTTGCCATGGGCAGGGACACCTCCCACCAAGACCAGGTTGCTCCAAGCCCCATCCAACCTGGCCTTCCACACTGCCAGGGATAGGGCAGCCACAGCTGCTCTGGGCATAAAAGATACTTAACCAAAACCTGTGGGTTTTCATATAAAACCGTGTTTTGTGGGTTTTATGCCTGTGTTGAACCTGACATGATCCTTCTTGCTAAATATTAAAATGCCTCTCGGTTCCTCATTACACCAGAATCCAAGAGATCAAACAGGCATCTCCCAATGATGATTTCTGCTCTGAAAGCAAAGCAATGGAAGAAATAACATCTCCCTGCAGTGGAGGACTTGCAGGGAGGCACCCCTAGGGAGATTTTTTTGGGAGTCACAGCTCTGCTCTCTCTTCCAGGAGCACCTTCATGTACGGCTCCTACCTGAGCACCCAGGAAATCGCCTTCTCCGACCCGACTCCGGACGGCAAGTTGTTCGCCACAAAATACTGCCAAACCCCAAACTTCCTCGTTTACAACTTCATTTCTAACAACTGATTTGACTTGATTGATTACAAGTTGATGTTAGTTTTAAGTCCTAAGATAAGGTAATTTGTGTGTTTAAATGAACACATAAGCGTAGTTACCTGGTTTCCTGCTGAGCGCTAGTTCTTCCCTTGCTAGCGAGCTGAGGGAGAACGTGTCACTTTGTGTACAGAGTTGTTGTGTTTCAGTGTGTGCTATGGAACCTTGCTTGGCTTTCAGGTAGGTTTGTTTCTTCTAAAAGTAAATTTTATTGCAAGTAACTTAATTTCTTTAAAAAGGTTTAATTAATATAAAGATGGTCGTTTTCTCCCTGGTGCCTGCGGATGTAATTCTGAGCTCTCTGCAGTTTGTTTGCTGTAAGAGGCAGGGTAGAAGCCTTAGTACAAACACTTCCTAAATTTATGCACAGAGTATGAGATGTCTTAAAACACCTGATGTGTGGCAGGATTCCCCATTATGTGGGAGACCTCCAAGTGTCACGGCGGGGTTGCCTGCTCAATAAAATGTGTGAAATTCTGCCTCTCCAGCTTGGTTTTGTGCACAGAAGAGATGTGGGAACACTTCCAATGCTCTCCTAATTTGAGGAGTTCAGAGGAGAAGGCAACAGTGGTTAAAATAAGTGTGTGTTGCAACTGGGGCAGGAATTTCCCCAACCAGCAAGATTTTCTTTTTAAAAAATCCTCAAGAGACTGTTACTGGTTTTGTGTTTTGTTTTGTTTTTTTTCCACTTGACCCCCTTTTACCATGGCAACAACCTGTTGTGTCAGGAAGCCTTTTCCTGACAGAGCTGCTCTCTCTTGGTGATGTTCTCCTGTTACCTGGGAACACAAATACTTTACACAAGAGCTTGCTCAGACCTGGCAGGGACACAAACACACACCTCAGGAAAAGAAACCAAGACTAAGAAAAAAAATATTTATTTTAACCATCTCAGTCACAAAACTATTGTTACATCAACAGGGAAGGGTTTTAAAAACAGCTTTAACCTAACAAAAGTAAAAGCACAGTGATTGCACAAAGCTTATGTAGGCCCTATGTGCAGGTGGAAGAGGACAGCTCTAGAAGCAAGACAGAGCAATGTGTCCTTAAAACTGGAATAGGATACAGTCATAATGAGTTTAGGTGCTGGTTTTTAAGTATGCAGAGCAGGTTTCACCTACTAGAAGGAATGTTTACTTTTCAACGCCTGAGCTTCTACATCCCCAACACAGCTTTGGTGTCCCTGAGCTCCAGGGTGTGGCTGTGGGAGCTTGAGGGCTTTTACTCTGGGGACAAAGTTGTCTCCAAGACTTCCACGATGCATGCGGCTGAGGGACGCTTCTTGGGCTCCTCGCTGGTGCAGACAGTGAAGAGGTCGATCATGCGCTGGTAGGAGGAGTCCAGTTCCTCCATGTTGAGGGCTGGACGGGTTCCCAGGGCTGCATAGTAAGCATCTTCGTCGAGCGAGTCTTCATCAAAGGATTCATCTGGACAAGATGGTGGAAGAGGGGCTGGGAAGGGGTTTGGAAGTTGCCTGCCTACGCTGGATCATGGGACTTTGCTCCCTGGCTGCCCCACAGCCATCACTGAGTCACAGGATGGTTTCAGTGAGAAGAGACCTTTAAAGGCCATCTAGTCCAACCCCCTGCAGTGACCAGGGACTTCTTGAACTAGATCAGGGTGCTCAGAGCACCATCAAACCTGACCTGGAATGTTTCCAGGGATTGGGCATTGATCCAGCAACCTGGACCAGTGTCTCACCACCCTCATCATAAAAAAAAAATAATAAAATCTTCCTTCTACCTACCCTAAATCTCCCCTCTTAGTTTAAAACCATCACCCCTTGTCCTATTGCTACAGGCCCTGCTAAAGTGTCCCCAACTTTCTTATAAGCCCCTGCAGGTACTGGAAGGTGCTCTAAGGTGTCCCTGAAGCCTTCTCTTCTCCAGGTTGAACAACCTCAACTTTTTCAGCTTGTTTCCAGAGCAGAGCTGCTCCAGCCCTCAGGTCACCTCCGTGGCCTCCTCTGGACTCACTCCAACAGCTCCATATCCTTCCACTGGTGAGACTGCACCTCAAATCCTGGGGTCAGTTTGGGCCCCTCATGACAAGAAGGACATTGAGGAGCTGGAGCATGTCCAGAGAAGGGGAATGGAGCTGTGGAAGGGTCTGGAGCACAAGTGTGATGAGGAGCAGCTGAGGGAACTGGGGGTGTTCAGCCTGGAGAAAAGGAGGCTGAGGGGAGACCTTGCTCTGCCACTCCCTGTAATGAGGTTGGAGCCAGAGGGTGAAGGTCTCTTCTCCCAAATAAAAAGCAACAGGACAGGAGGAAATGGCCTCAAGTTGTGCCAGCAGAGGTTTAGATTGGATACTGGGAACAATGTATTCATGGAAAGGGTTGTCAGGCCCTGGTACAAGCTGCCCAGGACAGTGGTGGAGTCCCCATCCCTGGAGGGATTTCAAAGCTGTGTCCCTTGGAGGGACATGGTTTAGTGGTGGCCTTGGCAGTGCTGGGTTAATGGTTGGACTTGACAATATTAAAGATCTTTTCCAACCCAAGCAATTCTGTGATTCTACAACAAATCCCCACTTGGGCATGCAGGAGTTGCCCAAAGTAGTTCAAAGTGCTTCCCCTGTGCTTGATCACTGGTCAGCAGGTGTTTAGCAGGCCAGGTACAGCCCTGAGCACCCTTGGCCTGGGCACAGCAGGCCTAGGTTAGCCTGTCCTGTCCAAAAGGCTCAGCTGCCTCAAATATTTTTGTGGACCACTTTAAGCATGATGTCATTTAAGCCTTTTCTGGCCAGGTGGTACCTAAACAGCATCCACCACACACCTACAGCCTGTCAGATGGCTCCTACACTGCCCAGATGTGGATGGAGCTGAGAGGATGCTGCAGGGCTCTCGGGGGAGCAGCAGTCCACCTCAGGGACATCTTTCAAACCTAGCAAATCACACTGATGGCAAACTGACCAGCAGCTGAATTCCTAACCGCTCTCTCCAGCTGTTAAGATGAGCAGCTGGAGCACTTACAAAGATCCCTGGGTTGCAATGATTAGCTACAGTCATTCATCAACTTCTCATTTGGAGTTTAAAAGCTAAATGAAGTTGGAAGCAGCCCAGCTACCTCCGTGAGCTCTGATGGACACCACAGACTGTGGCCAGATCCCTTTGTAGAGGCACCCCTGGGAGACCTAACATTTTGAAGGTCCTCAAACAGACTGTGAAAATCAATCTTGCTGAGAGGAAAGCATTATGAGGAGGAGATGCCTACCAACAAGGTATAGAGACAAACCTTCATCATCAGAGTCATTGCCCAAGTTGAGGTGGGGCACAGAGAGGGTCATCATTTCCCAGAGAGTCAGCCCAAAAGCAAAGATGTCGGCCTTGTCGGTGATGACACCATCATCCTGCAGAGCCTCCTTGGGCTTCCAGGGCTCGGTGCCAACGTAGCACATCTCTGGATCACTCACTGGAAGGAAAAAACATGGCTTAGGTGTCTGCTGGGACTTGCAGACACTGTGAGACATGGTCACAGCTCACCACACAGCAGGGGTTTAGCCTGTGGGTTACCTCAGGTGTGTCAAAGCCCCAGAGCAGGATCTTTTGGGGGCCCAAGCCCGCTTTTATTTCACATCCTTGTAGTCTCAAATCCTGTAACCTCTGAATTGCTCCACAGCACTGCCAGACCCAGCAGGGCTTCAGCTTCTCCTCCCCTGGCCCAGCAACACATCCCTTATATCCCTCTCCCAATTACAGGCCCCACTCCCAAGAGAAGGATACCACATTATACCCCACTCTCCTTAGCAAATTCTTGAGCTTTCAGCAAATCTCAGCTGTTTAGGAAAATTTTCTCTTGCAGAGCTGATCCTCAAAGCCTGGCCTATAAAGAGCAGCAAATGCCAAAATCCCTCCAACACTTGAGGGGTTGTTGGATCTAATCCTCAGCTGCCACATGGATGGGGACTCAGCAACATCTCTGTCAGTGGGGGCCCACTGTCTCCTTGAGACCATGAGAAGGCAAAGCCAAAAATCAGGGCAGAGCCCTGAAACCAGCCCAAAACCTGATGCTTTATCCACACTCTGGGAGATTAACGCTGGGGCACTGCCTCCTGCTCCATCTAAAAGGGAACAGCTACTAATAAAAGATGTAATAGAGCAGCTTTATAACTCGTGGGGCTGTTGCAGGCCCAAGGGCCTGTAAAGTGGTGGAGGAAAAGCATTCTTGCAATTAACCCAACACACATTCCTGCTCACAGCCAAGCCACGACGCCATTAGCCATCTGCTTCTCATTTGCATGAAGCCTTTATAATGCTGGTGTGTTTGGCTCATGCTTCCTTCCAGCCCTACAAGAAAGGGTCGTTTCCTTAACTCTCTGGCAAGAGTGGTTCCTCAACACTGCCTGATCCAGGACC